CCAAAACTTTCTTCGTTATGCAGCTGCCTGACTTCCTGAGAGTATGTCCAATCCATCGCCACCGCCTTCTGCCTACCTCATCTCTGACTGGGATCTGTCTTTTTTTCCTTAACACTTCCACATTGGTGACCCTGTCAGTCCATCTGAGCCTCAGTAAATCTCTTAGACACCTGTTCAAGAAAACCTGGATCCTCTTTATGCAAGTCTGTGATGCGTTATATATTGTTAAGACCATGAGCAACATTAAATTCTAATAAGAATAGGTGGGGAGTCACAAGGACTCGACTAGTCGGGAGAGTGTGGGGATTTTTTCCCCCACGTGGCTTCACATCAGAACCCAACGCGGATTTATTGCTACCCCCCTCTCTCTCTGTCTCTCTCTCTGTCTCTCTCTCTCTTTCTCTCCCCCGATATATCGTAATACAACTATTGTTTTTGTCAGTGACATGTTTTGTTGTTGGTAAAAATCTTTAGGCGCTCGCAACAGCACGATAAGGCCATTATTAGCGAGTGGCAACACTTACAGAAAAAGATACAAAGTACATGGTAGGCCCTACATGTACATGTATTTAGTTTCGAAATGCAGACGCGACATAGGTGAGTAAAAACATGGACTAAAAGACTACTTCTCGATCTTTTGGCTAAATCAAGGTGTAAAATCTGTTCCCGACTTTTCTCGGCCTTGCGCTGACTCGAAAGCGGGGCGGATACTGAATGGAGCTGATGAGGTCTCAACCGGCTTCTATTATGCCAAGTGGATGGTATTCGTTCTCTACCCCCCCAAAAAAAAAGCCCAAAAAACCCCCCACCAAAAACACAACAACTAACAAACGAACAAAAACAAAAACAAAAACAAAAACTACAAAAAACAAATCAGACAAACGAACAACCAACCAACCAAACAAACATACAGACAGTGGCGTGGCTCCCCAAGCGCAAATGGCGCCTTTGAAATGGAGAAGGGATTTTCAAAAAAGGGAATACGTTTTTCCAAAACTTAACTAAATGTCACAATATTTTTTTCAAACAAATCTCTGTGTTCATCCCTAAATACGCCAGTCTTTAGTTAAGGTGTATATAATTAGGCTAGTGGGAGGAGGGCGGGTAAGCCTCCTGTGGCCGGTCGCACGGGTCTCCCCGCTTCTTTCGTTCCCTACGTCTGACGTCACCGAGGGCGCCGAGCTCAGATCGGCGCTACCCACAGAATTCTACACTTCCTGAACCAGTGTCTCTGCCTGAACCCATCTGGGTGTTCATTGTTTAGGAGGGAAGTCTGGTCAAAATAATTCAAAATGATCAATAAACTATTTGATTCAATAAGTTGAAAACAGGGTTCTCTTTCCAAGAATAGCAAAACAGTTTCTCCAATACCCCATCCAGACATTTGACGGAAGACACAAGAGATATCACCAAGAACATAACTCAGCCAAAAATGCTAGAACAGGTACTCCCATCACACAAAGAGATTGTACTGTTAGGCCAGAGGGCCGAGATGGATTTGACGCCTATATGGTAGGGAGGGGATGGAGTGGTAGTTAGTAAAGTTAGCCTGGACATGGCATCGTTGCGAACCGTCTAAAATAGGTTTTATTTCGCTTTATTGTCTGCTTTCTAGAAACCAGAACTGCGCGTGAATCAGGGAATGGGGTCATTATGTCAAGACGCCCGGAGGGCAATAGTGCATGCTTGTTCTTGACTGAGAATGTTTTATGTGCTTTTCTGTTGATCCGTGGGAAGTTATTGTTTTGTGTGTGAACAATTACATTGTGATGTGATTGTGCGCATCTTGAGCACCGAACTTGGTTCTTTATCATCAGTTCTCTCTATATAAAATATTGTACCCGCACATATCTATTCTTCTCGCGTGGAAGTAGGTGTCCCTGTATCAGTATTAAAATTAAATGAAGAGGCGTATAGTAAGTCTACAGATTATAGGCCTGTAAAAGTAGGCAATACTATTTGTTGTGCACAAATTTGTTCTTGGCGCCACCTTCTGTTGAAGTGACGCCACGCCCCTGCATACAGATAAAGACTACTTATGCGAAGTAGCATAACGCGAGTTTTCACTGTTTATGTGCCCAAGTAGTGTGTACATGAATCGAATAAATACATTTTTATCATCTCACCAAGAGCTGTTTAACGTATCGACGTAATACTCTAAATCAAACTGAATCGAAGTAAACAAGCAAAGGAACATAATCCTACTATAGGCTTATCGAATTGTAGCAACAATAAAAAGTAATCTTTTACCGACGACTTATC